AAAGGACTCTTTGCACCTCGCTTCCAACGTGGATGAGGATGCGGAAGTCGTGGGCATTCTGGTCCACCGTGCGCCATAAATACCCTCTGTGAGTTTAAGAATAATCCTCATAATAATTATGAATTAATAATTCAGTGCGTGCTCCTTCCCCTTCTTCGGAGCCAGGATTAAGACCGACGTTTAAGCCACCCCTCGGACCCTGTATCCTGAAAGGAAACCCGACCGATGTCGTCGAACTGTCCCCCCACGTTTCACCCCCCTGACGACCGGGATAATGCCATGCGGACGCGCGAGTGATAGGCATTGTCAGGACGACGTTTCGTTGAATGGACCCTGGGTGCGAAACGACATTCGTTGCTTTCCGTTGCCGAAGCTGGAGGGAGAAAAGAGGAGGAGAAACGATCCAGGGGAATCCACCCTGGATGATATTTCTGCTCCGATATTTTCCCGCTATTGCCGCGATCGCGCCCGATGCGACTTTGGGGGATGCAATTGCAGGGAGAGTCGCGAACGAGTCACGGGTGGAGAGAGAGAATCGGCGGGAATCTAGAAATAAATGAAATACAAGGAATAAATGAAATGTATGAAAGAAAATAGGCAAGGAATAAAAGACGCGGCCAAAACGTGGCCCTTTTGGGGAACGTGACGCGACATAAGCCAGGGGGTCGGGCCGGTCATCGGGAGGAAGGTTCGATCCCACGGGAAAACACCAAGAAGAGATGCCCGATCACGTATCGGGACGCTGGGCGGGCCCGGGCGCTCCTAAATCCTGCAGGACCTACCTGGGGAAATTCATTTCCCCGGCAGAGGGGTCGGGGCCCAACATCTGTCCGCGCTCGTGCCTTCGTTTCGGCCGGGATTTTTCATTTGGTCCTGATTTCGCGATCGCCACCCCAACGGGAACCGGGACGTCCGGGGGTGGACAGGACCTCTGGATCAAGGGGCAGCCATGGGATAGGTCGGGAGGTTGTCCGAGGACCTGGGAGAGTTAATTGCGTCGGGCCGGGACCTCCTCGCCGTAAAGATCGGACGAGACAAAGGATCGACTCCGGGCGACTCCTTTTCCTGGAGGTCCTGGAGGTCCTGGCAAAGGGACCAGACCACGCCCCCGGGTCCCGATTCCCGGCGCCGAGGAGCGCGATTTATCGCGGCTCGATTAAATAAATCACCGGCCGGAGTCCCGGATAAAAACCTAATACGACGAGTTCTACGAATCGGACCTTCGGTTCTGCAGGACGAGGACCTCGAAGGCCGCCCATCATGTTGGAAGGACCTTCGGCACCCGACACGCGGCGAACGCCCGCCAAGGTGCGTCGAGGCGCGAGAAGGGGTGAAGGGTTCCTTCGTTTTCGAGAAAATCCCGGCGACAGGACAAAAAGAGAGAGAGAGGGGAGGGTCGCGGAGTCAGGACCCACTCTCCGGGATGGCCTTTCCTCCGGGTCCCGCGGGATTCGCGAAAAAGTCACGCGCATCCCCTTTTCGAGCCCACCGGGGACCGGGGGGTGGGAGAACGGAACGGCATTTCCGGCCATCCGTCTTCTCGCCCTACTCCTTTTCGAGGACCTCCCAACGGGCGCCTCCACCCCCGAGTCCTTACGTCTCCATAAAGGCGCTCCAAGTACTCTCGTTTCCTCCCATTTTCTCGACACCGCGACCGGGCCGATTTTCATCGGCGCGGGATTTTCTATCGACTGCGATCTCGGGCTTTCCCCAGCCTTGAAACCGAACAACGGCCTCGAGTTTCCCTATTTTTCCGATTTTCCAGATCTTCGTCGACGGGCGATCTCTCTCGAGTTTCGTCCTATCCGCAACCTTGCCACCGAACAACGCTTCCCTTTCATTATATTAATTTTACCGATTTTTAGCCTTGCTACCAAACAACGCTTCCCATTAATTTTCTCCATTTTCCCGATTTTCATCAGCGGGCGATTTCTCTCGATTTTCAGCTTCGATTTCGGGTTTTCCCCAACCTTGCTACCGAACAGCGCTTTCCTTTTATTTTCTCCATTTTTCCGATTTTCATCAGCGCGCGATTTCTCTCGACTTTCGGCTTCGATTTCGACACGCCTCTCTTTCCCTCTTTCCCCTTTCTCCATGAAGCTGGAGAGAGAAAGAGAAAGATAGGGGGATCGAACCGGCGATAGGCACTCTCGGCATGGCCGCTCTCGACTGCCTCGCGAGTGGAGTGGCACTTCTCTGGCGCCCTCTCTCTCCCTCCCGCGCTAATCCCGCTATCGGCGTCTCTCTCGATCCCTCCCCGCGTCGCGGTGCGCGTTACGTCGCGGCGTCGCGTTACGTTTCGTGGAAGCCTACCCGGGAACTTTACTTGGGAAAACATCCTATCGGACCCTTTCTCAAACACTCGGTCAGGAAGCTGTTTAGCTTGCCGAGTGCTGTTTGCGTAGCTTAATCGAAAAATCATATGTAAGCGGGGTGGCCAGTTCGTTCCGGCCCGATGAGCGTTTTTGGGTCGTTTCAGGGATTTCCTGCCGTCTCTTATCGGAGCACTCCGGGACAAGAGATACGTATCCGGATGCTGCGGAGTGGCTGAGCCCGTTACAAGATATTTCAGGACGTTTTAGGACCTCTCAAGATGTCGCAGGATGTCTCGGGTCATTCCAGACGTCTGAAGACGTTTCATCTTAAAATCTCTTAAACGGTCTCATGACGTCCGAGAGTGTCGGAAAATGTCTGGAAAATCTTTGAGAATGTCGCGAAACGTCTGAAAACGTTTCGGAACGACTCCGAGACGTCTCATGGCATCTCGCGATGTATCAAGGCCTCTCACGACGTATCAGGACGTCTTACAACGTATCAGGGCGCGGCGAGATCGAACCTCCGCGAGCTAATAGGACACGCGCGAGTCCCTGTAAAAGGATCTCGCGGCGAAACGGGGGCGAGCAAAGTCGTAAAGGAGGAACGGCACGACTTTGAGATAAATTGGCCCCCGTCGCGGTGTCTCCGCCGTTGCGGGACAAAACATCGTAAACCGGGGACTTAAGTGCGGCGTCGAGCCACGGTATGGAATCCCTGCCGCATAGGGCGACGGCGGATTTCTCGAGTGTAAAACGCGATTAGCCGTGCCGGTCGATACGCCTTATCGTTCGAAAGCTCTAATGGGAAGCTTAGTGGGAATAAAAACCGGCGAAACAAGAATCGGGCCTCTTGGCGGGCCGCGGAAGGTACGGCGCGTGGGTTGACTTGCGTACAGAAAGGACGATCGTGAAATCGATCGAGCCTCATCGGTCGAGGTCGATCGAGGGACTTAATCCATCGTCGTAATCGCGAAAAAGAAAGATGAAAAAAAAAAAAGAAATAAATGATAACCTTCAAATTTACCCTGGAAATATCCTCCGGCCCATTTTCCAACTAGCGCCCCTCCACTATAGCGACACCCTTTGATCTTCGAGGTCCACCCCCCTGGTTGTAACGATTCATGCGATTAACGATTAACGACCACCGGAACCGGACCGGCGGAAATTTCAATTGAAATCGATCGGATTACAGCTCGTTAATGACAACGAGGAGACCAATTGGCGCCCGTCGCGCGGCCGGGCGGATCCTCGATGGTGCGCTCGCGAGAGTCTGCTAAAAATGTGGAAAATGTGGGGGAAAAACGTACGAAAAAGAGCTCTCGAAAATCTCGGGAAAAATCACGGGGAAAAAGTCTCAAACCGCCGCCAGTCCTTCGGCGGTAAAACCCTACGCGAGGCTCCTCCGCTTATTTCCATAATTCATCGTCCTCCCATCCGTAGTAAATTTTCGACGATCTCGCCGGTAATTTATTCGCCCGAAGTCTCGCCGGTACCAGACGTAAAAAGGTAAGGAGAGGGGGGCGCGGAAAAAATTGCGGGAGTGCCGCCGCATCGGGGGAAACCCTTGAGGAGGTCTAAAGAACCGCGAAAAACCGGGAGGAAAGCGTCGGAAAGCTTCGCGGGGCGAGGGGACGGCGCGGTATGCAAATCCCGCGAAACGCGATACTTTCCGCTCGGCGGTGCGTGCGGAACCGCGAGGGGAGCCGGCCTCTCGTTTGGGCTCGGCCTAAATATTCATAATCTTCGCTTAATAAGCCATTAAGTATTAATAACGGAGGTCCTGGCCCGCCGCCCACGTCGTGGCCGCGTCGATCGGCCCGGTCGGATTTACACGCGTTCAAACGGCCGCACGCGGACAACGGCGCGGCCATTACGGAAAGTAATCCCCCTTCCGACATGTATCTCGTTTCCCTTGGATAATGTATTTACCCCAATACGCGTTGCATTTTGCATGCAACGAGATGCATACAAGAGTCGCGGCGAAGATCCTCGTCCCCGTAAAATTCCGCATTCCAAGAATTATGGGTTAATTATTCAGGGTTAAAAAAATGGAGGTGAATTTTATTCGGGGGTCTTAAGAAGGCACGACCGATTCTAAGGAGAGTGATTAACGTTACGAGAAGGCGCGCGACAAGTAATTACGAACGGGTAAAAAAAAGAAATTCGACTCGAGCGGCCTTTACCGGAAACGAGCCAACGATCGAATCGACGTCACCGATTGGCAGAAATTCCAAATTAAATCGAGCCCGACCCGCTCGGTCGGGTCAAACTGAATTCTGCTTGAATTAAATACACCTCGGCGAGTCGGGCGAAGTTCAATTGGCCCAATTAAATTGGACTGCGTCGACGCGATGAAATTCCATTTTTCGCGAGCTCGGCCGGGATTCGGGACGTTTTTCGGTAGCCCCGGGGATTGCATTAACTTTCGTCATTATCATAGCATGGAAGGATCGGTCTCGAGGTGTTTGAGCGTCTCATCGTCGAAATTCTTAAATATAGGCCTGTCTACACCTCCGAGGTGCGAGTGGTCCGTAAAAAGGACTGTAAACGGCCTGGACCACTACGACCAATTAAAATTAGATAAAGCAAGATGAAACGTAACAAAATGAGCTAAAACTTAAAAAATGAAATAAAACTCGATAAAATTAGATAAAGCTAGATATAATTTGATAAAACAGGACTCACAGTTTCTCGGCGAGCAGGAGAGCAGCAAGGTCTCCGGGCACCTGGGTGAGTCCCCGCTGGGCGCAGTCGAGTTCGTGTCCGTTGCAGGTGCAGGCCCAGGGGCACCTAGCGCCGTCGAGGTCTTTCAGGGAGCCGGCGAATCCGGGGGCGTCGCCGAGTCCGTGTACCCCATGGGCGCCATGGGCCCCGTGGGCGCCGTGGGTCCCATGGGAGGCGCCGCCCAGCACCGAGAGGACGAGCAGGAGTCCCCAAGCGCAGACGACGTAGCCGCAGCTGACGCCGAGCACCCGGAGGGAGAGCATCGGCGCCCAAGTGAGAGTCATGGCGCGGGGGGTGCCGAGGTCTTTCGCGTGGGCGTCGTCGAGGCGGGCGAAGAGGGCGTCGCGAGGTCGCTTGGGCCGGATCGGGTCGTCCGGAGGGTTCACCGAGGGCGCGGCGTCGCCGTCGCCGTCGCCGTCGCCGAGGCGGGCATGGGCACCCGGGAGCGGGGGACCTCCCGGCGGCGCGGGGGCCCCGCTCGCGGCGCGGCCGGGCCCGGGGAGGGCCCCGAAAGTTGGCGCGCGCCTCCTGGTGGGCGGCTCGGCGACTACCGCCTCATACGGCGGGGGCGCCTCCGGGGGTCCGAGGGGCGCGGGCCGGCCCGCCGTCGAAGGTGATGCGGAGAGACTGCGGCCGCGGGCCCCTAGCGGTGCCGTCGGCCGCCGGTCATCCCGCTGGTCGCCTGCCGCCGAACCCAGAGGTCTTATTTTGACGGGAGTGCGGGGCCTGACGCGGCCCCGAGTCCCCGACCGGGGACTCGATGGGGCTCTGCGCGCTGCTCGACGGGCCCTGGTGGAGGGGGCACTCGGGCCTAGCGCGACGTCAGCGCCCTGCGAGATGGAGTCCGACTGGGCCCTCTTGGGTCGAACCGGGCTTGTACTCCTCTTGGGCCGAGAAGGGCCCGCTGCACCGCGTCGAGTCGGGGCCCTTGTACTCTTCTTGGGCCAAGTCGGGCCCGTTCCACCTCCCGTGGGTCGGGGCCGGGTCGTTACTCCGGCGTCCTCGCCGGGTGCGGCCTCGCTGCTACGAGGGCACTCCTCCAGGGCCGACGCATGACCTGCAACGGAACGATCGGAGTCAGCTGGAGTCGAACACCGGCGCCCTGGTAGGCGTCGGGACGCGTTTCCGTCTCCTCCAAGGAGACCGGAATTCCATAATACTCGAGCAGACGCCGTGAAAATTACGCAGGTTTTTTTTTTTTTTTTAATGTCAGGGTTAATAGCTTCCAATAAATTACAGAAAATTTGGGCATGTTTCTCCTCGAGGTGGTAATCCGAAGGAGTGGTTCGGGAATTCGTGCAGGGATCCCTAGATGACGTCGACGCCGCCTAGACGGCGAATGCAAATCGCGGACCCCTGAGCAAGCAACGCGAGCTTCCCTGCCGTGAGTTATCTCCATCCCGGCGCGGCTTCGTGATTTCGCATGAGTCGCAATTTGCCCCAACCTCGAACCTTATACGCGGCGGACATTTTTATGACGCTTTCATCCCGCGGAAAACTCGTAAAAAGACCGGGCCAAGTTTCGGGGAGTTGTCGCGAGTCACGTTCCCCCCATACGCGGTGGACTCGATCGAGAGGAGGGATTCGCGCCTCCCACGTTCCAACTTTCTCCCGTTTCCACCTCCACTCCCATTACCGATCCGGGAGCTATCATCGAGGCCGTCCATCGGCGATCTGGAGTTTGAGTTCCTCCACCCACGCCCCAGAAATACCATCGTCGAGACCTTCCATATACGCCCGGGATCCCGAAACTCGTCCATGACCCCCAAATTCCCCTCTAAATCAGCTCCCAGGAGTTTATCCTCGGAAACATCATCCTGGAGGCCAGGAAATCCGCAGAATATTCGCGATGTACCTCGACCCGCCGAGGCGTTCCGGCTTATAAGAAGCCGCCCCGCGATATTGGCAGCCCCAGAAATATATGTTTCCACGGCACAATCAAATCCCGAATGCATTCCGCGCACGGACGAGGAGGAGACTCCTAAGCATATTGGAATCTCCGCACTGTGCACGTCCTGGGAGCGTCCCACTTTGCCCCGGTATCCTGGGACCCTGGCAGGATCCAGCGGCCCCAATTTAGAATCCTGCGTCGTAAAGAAGGGATTTCGAAGGTGCCATTAATGGCCGATACGTTTCCCTCCTACGCCTCCAACGTTGATCCACCTCCCGCGATTTGCATCCCACCCATTGTTGCAATCAACGCTCGTACCACCTCGAAAGGACCATTTCTCAAATTCGTTACTAAACAAAACTTCCTAAAAAAGTAACACATTGATCCACCTCCCGCGATTTGCATCCCACTCATTGTTGCAATCAACGCTCGTACCACCTCGAAAGGACCATTTCTCAAATTCGTTACTAAACAAAACTTCCTAAAAAAGTAACTTTCAGATTATTGCACGAGTAACCATCAGCGTCGTCTCCAGAGAAACCAAAGGTAGAGTGCCCGAAAACAGGGGGGCCCTTTGTTCCTTCAGTCGGCAGGTGTTCGGAGAGGTTTACGGGTCTCGATTCAGCCAAACCCAGGATCGATATCTGGATCTTGAGTCGCGGGGGGGTCGGAAAAGCGAGCACCCATCGCTCGCGAGGACCCTCGAGGCCGTAGTCGCGAGTTTCGAGCGGACGCCACGGCGGCGGCGCTTCTCTCTATGACGTCGCGACGTAGAGGTTAAGGTGGCGTCGCGCCGTCGAGGAGGGCGGTAGGCGTCGGGCCCGCAACCACCCCACGTCCTCGTGGGTGCTCGGCATTAATTAACGAGGTTAGTGCACATTAATTCGGGCCGAAGTAGCGGGCCGATGGCCGGAATCGCTGCGCTGAAACGCTCTCGGGCCCGTCCCCCTCTGGCGGGGTCCGCGACAAAGGGCCGGCCCGAGGGGTGGAAAGTGCACCTCGAGAAATCGCCGCTGGAAGATGGGGCGGATATTCCAGCTAAGTGCCGCACACGGGAGCCGTATCGAGGGGGAGATCGATCGCGTAGCAGCGGCCTCTCCGCGGCACGGCGCGCGCGGTCCGCGGTCGGGACCTCGTTAGAGGTGCCGTTTCAAAAGGCGCGTTTTAAAAAGGCCACTTCCAGAGGTCGCATCTCGGGATACTTGTTGATACGTCGCATCGTCGTGCCGTGGTTCCATCGTAGCATTGCCTCGTAGCGTTGCTTCCTCGCGTTTCATAGCCACGCCGCCTCTTTTTCGGGCGTTGCATCGTTGCGTTTCATCGTCGCGGTTCCTCTTTCTCGGACGTCGCGTCGTCGCCTTGCATAGTTGCGTTGCACCGTTGCGCCTTCTCATTCTCGAGCGTTGCATCGTCGCGTTTCATCGTCGCGGCTCCTCTTTCTCGGGCTCTTGCATCGTCGCGTTTCATCGTAGCGGTTCCTCCACCTCGAGGGTTGCGTCGTAGCGTTTCATCGTCGCGCCTCCTCTTTCTCGGGCTCTCGCATCGTCGCGTTTCATCGTAGCGCTTCCTCCATCTCGAGGGTTGCTTCGTAGCGTTTCATCGTCGCGCCTCCTCTTTCTCGGGCTCTTGCACCGTCGAGCGAATACAGGGCAGGGAATTCTGCGATAGTGGAGGCCGCTGGTCGGCGTTCCCTCGAAGCTCTCTCGTTTCTCCTCGGATGCTCGTGCCTCCCCGCGTCCGGTTCCCGTCACGTTCCGCAGCATCGAGCGCCGCATCGGGCGCCGCATCGGTAGATGGGAGGCGCAGATCCGTAGGGCTCCGTCCGCTGCGGAGGAGGTCCCCGGAAGCTGTAGGCCCGCCACGGCGGGACTGCATTCAGGCACGCCACGTTGGTCCGGGCCTCTGCCCGGCTACTTTGTGCCGTATTTTCCAGCCGGTGCCGCAAGACCGCCCGACCGTTCCGGCAATACGGGATGCCTGAGAACAGGGCACAACTCTAGCGGAAATTGAACCGCTGGTGCAGCAGCGCGTGCCCCGCTCCCTCCGTATATTTGCAGGGTATTCCGACCTCGGTAGCCAAACTTCCGACCATCCCAGAATTTTTGCCCCATCTCCGTTGGCTAGACAATCCCTTCCTGCATGGAATCCGGAGGCAGGACGCATTCCCCGCTGGAGTCCTACGTCCGAGCTCTCCGGATTACGCGGAATCGGATTTTTTCCGCCGAGATATGGATGGCTGGGTGCATTCTTCTCCGCGTTCCTCCTCCATTCTCCTCCGCTGTCGGAGAACATCCCTTCCGCGTCCTCCGGAAGACGACTTCGAGATCTTCTCTTATGCCTTGCAACTACGACAGCGCACGGGTAATCCGCCAAGAACCAGCCATTAAAGTTAAACAAATATTTATACAACAGCCCGAACATTCGGCAACTGGATTTTCAAATTATCAGAATACGTTCAATAATACCTCGCAACGATAACCATCCACGAGAAATCCGTTCCAGAATTATTTCGGACAGCTTCGGCGGCATTCTCCCAGAAGAGCGAGGTACCAAAATGGCGGCGACTCAGGCCCTCGCCCCTTAGAAAAAGGGGCTTGACGAGCCCGTCGACCGCACGACATGAAATATAGATATTTCCGGAAGAAATGGAACGAGATACCCGCGAGCTTAGAAACGTTTCCTCGAATACAGTCCTTTCGAACGACACCCTTTCCCTAAGGAGGGCGCGCAAGAGAAATTCGCGATTGCACGCGAATTTCTCAATGCTTTTCTGGATCGAGTCCGACCAAATCTCGAAAAGAGTCGATCGAAGATCGAAGCTTATCGCGTGTATCGCTGGTGGATCCCCAAAGACCACGATATATACATATAGCTACACAAGAGGCGCGACGCAGCGCAGTGTCCACGTTACCCTCGAAAGCCGGATAAACCCCGGTCGGTGCATCTCGGATTTCTCTCCGGCGCTTCGTTTGGGGGCAGTTGGGGGAGGAGAAGGACGGAGACTCTCGGATATTAGGTTTCCCAGTGCGGTTTTCAACCACCCACTCGATCGACCGATCGGCCGACTTCACCCCAGGGAAATCACACGGGATACGAGGGGGACCCTCCCCCGCCGCCCTCGAGCCTCCCCCTCTACCTTTCGAGCGCGTTTAAGACTCGACCTGAAGCCTCTCTCTCTCTCTATCACATTTTGGGGGTGTTTAAGACTCGCCCCGGCGCCTCTTTCTCTCTCTATCCCACATTGGGGGCGTTCACGACTCACCCCCTATCTCTCTATCACCTTTCGAGCGCGTTCAAGAGTCTCGGAGTATCTGGAAGGAGCCCGCGAGGAGAGCATCTCGGCCTCCGTCTTCATCCGACAGCGATTTCCGCCTCCCCTCCTCCCCGGGGGGT